CCCTTTTTGCAAAAAAAAACCCTCTGCCTTCTATACATTTACACCCAATATTGTGTATTAATTACCTCATTTAAAGAAGCACTAATTTGTAAAACTGTGTGGGGTTCTAGCAACAAAAAACCAAGATCCAAATCATGGTAGCATGAGGAATATACAAAAACCAATTAAAAATTTTAGTGTGTATAAGAATAACAACTGTCCATTATTCTTGAATTTACTTCATGAACACACATGCACACACACACACACACACACACAAATGAAGTATAAAGCTTTACAGAAAAAGAAGAAAGGGGAAGTTCAAAGACTGATCCAGGCCTCCAAATCTGATAATATTATTACATTTTGAAATATTGGGTTTGCCCACGTGAAGGATGTTGGGTTAAAATCAGAAATCTCCCTCTTTGCCTTCAGATAGGAAACTTTTTATCAGTCCATCTACATATCAGAAAGCTGCACATCTGTTGCTGCTGGAGAGTCACAGGAAGACTTGCCAAATTGGCCCCCTATTATCCCAATAGAAACTGCTAAGCTAATACTGTATTATAACATGGGACAGTGGTCACACACTGGATTTGGTTTTCCTGTCAGAGCGGTGGCTATGTGATCTGCAATTGGGGGAGCTTTTGGTGTCCCTCTTGTCATGGTCAGATCACGCCCTGATTACCATGGGATTCTCTGCCAACACTATCCACTGCAGGGAGGATGGACCCATTAGACTGGTTCCTGCTGGTCTGCTGCACGGTCCATCTGAAGCCTTGGTCACTGCTGGAATCAAAGGGGCAGGTGAGGCTTTGGATTGGATCGCACCTATGTGACCCCTCCTCTCTCAAGGGTCCCATCACTCCCTGTGATTTATGGAGGGGTTGAGGGAGATGAAATGAGAGAAGAGACTCTAGAGCATCGCTGACACTCATCTAAGGATGAACTCAACCAAACATGGGTTAAGGCCTCTATTAAGGCCTACCTTGTGGCAGTAAGGGTGGCAAAGCATCAGTAATACTCATCTCTTATTGCATCCGCAGATTGCCACCCGCAGCCCTATTCCGGATGATATGAGCCCTCTTGGGTAAAGGGGGCCTGGAGAACCTGTTGTAGGGTTGTGCAGAGGAATTTGCTCAGCATCTGTTGGATAAAATCGCTCAGATCTGTTTACAGTTGGATGCTGGCTTTGCTGCAGGTCTGGGGGAGATGCCTAGAGCGGAATCTTGCCTTGTTATCTGTGAATGGTTTGAACCTGTTGGACCTGAGAAAGTGGATAGGGCCCTTAGGACTGTGAGCTCAGCCACCTGCTCCTTGGATCCATGCCCCTCCTGGTTTGCGAAAGCAGCCTAGGGGTATTGTGTGGGCTGGTTCTGGTGGTGGTGAATTCTCTTCTGAGTGAGGGGTTGTTCCTTTGCCTCTTGAGGAGGCTTTGCTTTGCCCCCTCCTCAAGAAGCTGTCTCTGGACCCCATGATACTGGACAATTTTTGTCCAGTATCCAACCTCCCCTTTTGGGGAAAGGTGATTGAGAAGGTGGTTGTACAGCAGCTTCAGAGGACCTTGGATGAAGCGGATTATCTGAATTCTTTTCAGTCAGGGTTCAGACCCGGGTACGGTACAGAAACATTGGTCATGCTTTTGGATGATCTCTGGCATGGGAAGGATGGTGGTTGAGCGGCTTATGATACCATCGACCATGGTATCCTTCTGGATCAACTCAGAGGATTGGGAGTGGGTGGCACGGTGTTGTGCTGATTCACTTCCTTTCTACGGGGTCAGTTTCAGTCAGTGGTGATTGGGAAGGAGAGATCCCACCCTTGGCCCCTGCTGTGTGGGGTGCCACAGGCATCAGTGCTCTCTCTTCCCCTATTTAACATCTACGCGAGACCGCTGGGTGAGCTCATCTGTTGCCATGGGTGAGGTATCATCAGTATGCTGATGATATTCAATTGAACATCTCAGTCCCAGGCAAACTAAGCGATGCTGTGGATGTCCTGTCCCGGTGTCTGGAGGCTGTGAGAGTCTGGATGGGGAACAACAGGCTTCAACTGAACCCTGGCAAGTCTGAGTGGCTTTGAGTTTTGAATCCCTCTGGTTCTAGGACTTTGCCATCTTTGGTACTGGATCGGTCACACTGCCCCAAACAGACCCTGTGCGCAATCTGGGGGTTCTCCTGGACTCACGACTCCTGCTTGATGAGCAGGTGGCAATTGTGGCTAGGAGGGCCTTTGCATAACTCCATATTGCACCCATTCCTGGATCAGGGGGACTTATGGTCACTCATGTCCTGGTCATCTCCCAGTTAGATTACTGCAATGTGCTCTACATGGGGCTGCCCTTGAAGAGTATCCGGAAACTTCAGCTGGTGCAAAATGCAGCAGTGTGAGCAATTATGTATGCTCCTGGTAGAACACACGTTATACCTTTGCTTCGTGAGCTGCATTGGTTACCAGTTTGTTTCTGCTGTGGTGCCTGTGCTATGGAATCTTCTTCCCCTGAGGTGAGGTTGGCCTCTTCACTGTTGAGCTTCCAAAAGTCCCTCAAGACCTGGTTGTGTCAGCAGGCCTGGGGACCCCAGGGGACAGGTGATCTTATGAGGTGACTCCATTATTTTTAACATCCCTTCATCTATTACTTTGTTTCACTTGGGGTTTTTTTATATTTTTCATACTTTTTAATGTATTTATTGCTTGTTTTTTAACCTTGTACATGCCAAGAGCTGCTTGGATAAAGGGAGAAGGGCAGCTAATAAATTAAGTAAATAAATAAATAACTGAAAAATGGGAGAGCCCCAGGAAGAAATAGAATCCCACTTCATCTGTTAAAATCTGGCTGGCCAAAGTTTAGGTGGTTTTGTTCACAGCCATAAACTGCACACTGAAAATATCCCCCAAATGGAATATCTGTATTATGGTCCTCATATTTACAAAAGGAAACAGGTCTGACCCTCTAATTATTGCCAATCAGTTTATAAAATCTTATTAGAAAGCTCTACATCAGATACTTATTTTGTAATTAATGGATTGCATGGAAGAGGAAAGCATGCTTGCTAAGCTCTTCGCTGCGTTTAGGATGGGAAGATCAACCGTGGATCAGTGCTTGGTTTTACAACATCTTATTGAAAAATACCTACCAGTCCCCAGAGGAGCCTGTACATGGCAGTCATTAACTAGAAACAGCTTTTGACTCTGTTTCTAGAGAACCATTATGGGACTAATTGGAGACCTCATCCACTGATTGGCATCTGCTGGCACTTATTTTATTGTTGCACAATAATATATCCAAATAAAATATATTCAAATAAAGTCAGCTTTCTGCTGTGGTGCCTACTTCCAAGGATGTTTAACAATGATGTATTTTAGCCCCTTTCCTATTTAATGTTTGTATCAATGATATGGTATAAAAACTCACAAATCCAGAACATCATTTGCTGGGTTGGGCTGGCAGACTTATTGCCTTACTTTTATAGTCATATGATGCAATGATTATCATATCTTCACCTATTGGACTGAGGAGAGCATTAAGATCAACTTACTCCTAGTGCACTGATAATGATTTGTCTATTAACTATAAAAAATGAAATTTACGGTCTTTTAAAAAGACCCCCTATATATAAACATAGATGGCAAATTAACAGGAATGTTATTGAATAGGTTCAGTCCTTTAAATATCTTGGAATTGTTTTTCATGCTACAGACCCTCAAAGGGTCCAAATTCAAACACTGAAGGAGAAGGTAAAAAGGAGTGTAGCTGCCATCTTAAGATGGGTGGATGGATGGATGGATGGATGGATGGATGGATGGATGGATGGATGGACAAGTGCTCTGTCTGTGACCATAACAATACCTGCTTTAAAAAGAATTTCAAATCATTTAAGTTTAAGGATGTGAATTTGGGCCTGGGCAATCCTAAGCAAGTTTCTGAAGACTACTTTCACTCTCTAATAAGTGTGTCCAAATACAGTGCAGAACAAATGAAAAAAAAGGCGGGGGGGGGACTAATATTGCCTGAAATTTGTCTCCCAGTTTCTACCAGTGTACCCAAGGCCTTCCCCCCCCCCCATTTAAATTTTTCATTTTTTTCACATTC